AATCTGTTGACCTTTTGATCTGCCCTCCTCTGCCTCCCAAAGTGCTGGGATTACAGGTATGAGCCACTGTGCCCAAACCTTTCTCTATATTTCTATGACAATTTTTCAGTGCCATAGTAGAGGCTCAGGACTAGTTATAGATTTGCCTTCATCTCTGTTAAATTCTAAGCTTCTAGAGAGTGAGGGTTGCTTTAATTCATATCTGATTCCCTAGTCTGCCTGGCACAGAGTAGGTGTTCAATTAAAGCTTCCTGAATTAAATGGGATTTAAACTCCCAGAGAAAAAACTGCATTTCTCTCCTTGCCAACTTCCTCACCAGCCTTGCTTCCTGGTGCACCTGCTGGCCAGCCAGGTGCCAGTGAGCATGTGTGAGTGTGCAGGCCTAGCCCTCAGGACTGAATATGCCATAGGGACCCATATCATGGGACAGAATTGTGCAGAGAGAAGGACGCAGGCCAGCCATGACCTGCAGCGGCCCATCTTCTGTCTCTTTAGCAATAAATAGTGAGATGAAACAATCCAGCCCACCACACTCTGTTTAGGCCAAAGTAGCTGTTCTCGTCATTTATAATGGAAGCCTCCAGCAGAACATCACAGTTAATTGCAAAGAACAGTGAGTCACACAAAGCAGCCTGGAAGGAGAGGGCAGTCATTGTGAGAGGACAAAAAGACTCGCCAGAAGGTGACCCAGGACCAGCTCCCGTGTCCAAGGACCTACAGGGCATTCAGGGCAGAGGGCAGAGAATAATCATTATACACACACTACCCCTTTAGGTACCAGGGCCCAAACACAGGTGGTCATCCTGTAAGTGCCTTTTATGATTATATTTTGAGGTTTTAAAAATACAAAACAAGTGCAGATAATATAACACATCTGTATACATAATTATTTCATCTTTGTGGCAGTGCTGTGGAGTGAGACATATCAACCTCATTTATGGATATGAAAACTGACACCAAGGATCTTGTGGTTTGCACAGTGTACCAGTGGTAGCTGTGTGATGTGACCAGCGCTGTCTCCCATGCTCTGTTCTCTGAGCCATGGTGTGGTCCCACCTCCCGCTCATCTCCCACTCAGTGGCCTCTAACATCTCTGATATTTGTCTTACAGCCATGGTTTAACCCCTTCCAGCAATGAGTTGCCGATCATTTCACAAGCATAATCCTTCTTGATATCTAGCACTCTGATATTCAGTATATGTATATATCAGGCACTATTCAATGAAGATATATTGAGCCTTTCTAGGATCCCCTCAAGTTAGAAAGTCTCTTTCTTCTCCATACTCCTGTGGCGGTTGGTCAGTGTCATAGTACAGCAATATTAACCCTCACAAATGCCCTCAGAGGTGGGTACTATTATTTCCTTCCCTTTACAAATGAGAACAGAGAGACTCAGTAACTTACAAAGGTCATATGACTGTTAAGCAGTAGGGCTGGGACTTGACCATGGTTGCTGCCTACTAACGCCAGGTTCTTGCCCACTATTCTCTCAACCCCCCGACAAGTAGCCCATATTGCTGCTATGCTGCTTGGTTTAAAAGATTTTCCTTATTCTGATCCAAGTCTGCTGCCCTAGAACTTCTACCCATTGGCTTCAGTTTTGTCCTATGATGCAGAAAGATTCTCGTTCCTCTTAGCTATGTCAGTGCTTCAGCTAGCTGCCCACTTGACTGTTTCTCTCCCCCTGAATCTTTCTCTGGTTCTGATTTCCCTCTATGTCCTGGCATTGAAGTGCCTTGGTGGGGGCACAGAGCTGACCCCAATATTCCAAACATCATTGGAATGACTGTCCAGATTGAGTGAGCTTATTGGAAGTTACATCACTCCATGGATCTTGAGTTGTCTAAAATCTCAGGCCATTTTCTGTTGAATGTGGAGAGTCATGTGACCCCCAACCTGTGCTTATGCACTTAGCTCTGAGTCGGGGCCTCCACAGTCACACTGGCTCATCTCTTACTTCTCCAGAGGGTTCAGTTCAGCAACGGAGCCTAAGCACAAGAGCTCCTACACCATCCCTTGGGGTGTATGCCTTTCTGGTCTTCCTGTTGTTCTGAGAGCCCCATAAGGGTGTCCTCATAGATGAGGCTGAATGAGAGCAGAGCACTGATTCACAGCATGATCCAGGGTTACGGATTGTGGGCATGTGGAGTGAAACCCTGTCTCACTTCAAGGCTGCATAGGAGACATACTTAGGGCTATTGAAAGCAGTATGAAGGTACCACTCATGGGAATAAGGGGGATGGGTTGCAAGCTGTCTAATCTGGCTCCTCAGCACCCTCTTGAATGTTGTGAATAGAGGAAGCTCTTCTCAGCCCATCACTAAGCAGCAATGTCTTGAGGGAGACTAAAGGACATAGCAGAAAAGTTTCTTGACTTTTTTCTCTTGGTGACTTGATTCTACTATCTTGTTGCTTATTTCTAAATAATCCAAATAATGCCAAAGAAGGAAGTCATCCTTGGTTTTGGCCAAGTCCTAAAACATGATCTGTGCAGAAAAGGAAATTTATTTATTAGGAAGTTATGAGAGAGTTCATGGAAGTGCTGGGAAGTCTGGAAGACAGCATGGAAACAGGAAGAAATTAGGACAGGATGTACTTGACAGGGCATTGCTTCTTCCCTCTTGATACCTTTGTGTTGCTCTGCTCGACATTCAGAGTCCCAGGGGAGAATCTTATTAGTTGGGCTTAGGTCACATGCTCACATGGATGTCCTGGGATGAGAGAGAAATAATCAGATGAAAGGAGCCCACAGTAACCCCTCTGCTTCTGTATTTGGGGGCAAGACACACCAATCTGTCATACACAAGTCTGTAAACAATGGGGGAGAGGATTTCCTAAAAGGAAACTAGGATGTTTTTAATTTATTTATTATTTATTATTTATTTTTTTGAGATGGAGTCTTGCTCTGTTGCCTAGGCTAGAGTGCAGTGGTGCAATCTCAGCTCATTGCAACCTCTGTCTCCCAGGTTCAAGCAATTCTCCTGCCTCAGCATCCCCCAGTAGCTGAGATTACAGGCATGTACCACCATGCCCAGCTAATTTTTTTATATTTTTAGTAGACACAGGGTTTCACCATGTTGGCCAGGCTGGTCTTGAACTCCAGACCTCAGGTGATCTGCCCACCTCAGCCTCCCAGAGTGCTGGTATTACAGGCATGAGCCACTGTGACCGGCCCTGGGACGTTTTCAGATAAGAAAAGAATGCTGGATAGCCAAAATGAAAATTCAACAACAACAAAAAGCCCATCCATAAAAACTGGAGTTCAAATAATTAGTAATTAAGAAATAAAAACATCAGAATCTTTAATCTTTGAAGGCATGAGTTAGGATTCATAGACAATAGCCATCTTATCTCTCCTCTCTGGAGGGGTCAGAAAATGTTTGATCTCATCCTGGGGAAAGCCAGATGATAATGTTCAATGGAGCAAAGGGAAGGTGCAAACAAATTGAGGTATCTTACAAAACAAATAGAAGTTTCATATCCTGCTACAATTGCTTGATACAAAGGGCCAGGGGAATGTATCCTACAAAAGCATTGTTGTGAGGGATGAATGAGATGAGGATGTAGACCTCTGAGTGTGATAAATAGTTCTTCCCATTACTTGTTTCTAATGTGGAAACAGCTTCTTTCTCCCTATATCTAGTCTAAAATCCAACTCGATAGGAGATGTTTTCATTTGGGATTATGGAAAGATATGCTAGTTTTGGGGGTTGAGTTCAGGGCTAATTTTCTGAAGGATAAGAAAGCAAGCTCCAGCTAAGAGCCAAGAGAAAGTGATGATGAGGAAGCGGGCAATAGCAGCCATTTAGAGTGGTTGCGTTATGGGATTCCCTTCTATCTGTAGATTATTAGGCCTTCCAACAGGGGACAATAAGCACTATGAATCCAGGCAGGATGAGGGTGGATTGGACTAGCAGCTGGGCCCACTGGACCCAAGAAAGGAAGGTCTGCTGTGGTGTTAGGACCCAGCATCCCTTCCTTCTGGTGGAGTCAGAAGGTGGAATCATTTCCCACTGACTGGGGCATGATTGCATTTCTCATGATCCAGTAGCATGTTCTCAGGCCCAGGAAGGGTCCAGGCAGTGTATCCAATTATCAGGCATTGACCAGAGATACCTACAAGCTGAGAGCAACAGCCAGTTGGGACAAGATCTGAAAACCCAGAGTTGGTGCTGTACATGGGGGAGGGATCTGCATGGAGACTTGCTGAGCTGATGGTTTCTGTGTTCTGTTGGGAAAGCCCGCACATATGTGTTTAAACCATCTCTGTGCATCATTAGCCTGCTCAAAATATTGAAGATGGCTCACTGGGTCCCTTCCTGGCTCCATAACTGGTATAATGCCCACCAACATATCTCACTTGGGGCATTGTTGTTTCAAATCCAAACAGATCATCCTTCTAAAGACCTCAATGCCATGCTTGCTCCATTGCTAGCCACTCTGAGTGATGGAAATTTTTCCTGTAACTTCTACCCTCTGACTCTAGTTCTACCTAAATGCATCCCCTAATTATGGCAAATTCCTTTTCCGCAGATGAACCCTCACATAGATAAACCCAGGTGTCCTTAAAGCTTCTCTTTCCCAACTATGCACCCTCAGTTTCTTAAATCATTCACTGGCAAATTTTCCACATCATTGAGCAGATCCTGGCCACCCTCCTCAGGCCTCAGTGCAGGAAGGTTTATTAACCTTTACTGTGCCAGCAAAGGCAGCCTACCTTGTGGTGTTACTCCTACTTGTCTGGTCTGGAAGCTTCTGGAAATTGAGTCTCACTCTTCCTCCAGTCCTAGTGAGCTGTGGGTCAGGTCTCAGTGTGGTTGTCCCAAGCTCAGGCAATGCCTATTATTTGACTTGGCCTTCCCTTAACATGGCAGCTGTTCAGGGCTTTCCTTCTAAGCCCCCACCTCTGCTAGGGCTGAGTGTGCGTGCGTGGTAGGCTGTGAGCTGTGAGATTCCAGGATTGAGTCCCACTTATTTTGTTCTCTGTCTTTTTGTCAAAGGCATTTGAACCAGAGCAACTCCATCTTGAATAGGGGCTGGGAAGATAAGGCTGAGATCTGCTGGGCTGCATTCCCCAGAAGGGTAAGCATTCTTAGTCACAGATGAGACAGGAGGTTGGCACAAGCTACCGGTCACAAACACCCTGCTGATAAAGCAGAATACAGTACAGAAGCCAGCCAAAAGCTATCAAAACCAAGATGGCGACAAAAGTAACCTCTGATTGTCCTCACTGCTCTTTATATGCTAATTATAATGCATTTGCATACTAAGATTCATTCCCACCAATGCCATGACAGTTAACAAATGCCATGGCAATGTCTAGCATTTACTTTATATGGTCTGGAAGGAAGAGGAATCCTCAGTTCTGGGAACTCCTTTTCCTGTTCCCTGAGAAATTCATGAATGATCCACCCCTTACTTAACATATGATCAAGAAATAACCATAAAAAGAGCCAATCAGCAGCTCTGAGGAGTAGCCATTTTTTTTTCTTTATTTCTCTAATAAGCTTGCTTTCACTTTACTCTGTAGACTTGCCCCGAATTCTTTCTTATACAAGATCCAAGAATCATTTTTGGGGGTCTGGATTAGAATCCCTTTCCAGTAACACTTTGACATCCCCAGCAGCCCATGCTGTAGGACCTGGCTCAGATCCAGAAAAGACAGCGGTGTTAGCCTCTTAACTCCTGCTATTTATCCAACACCCACCCAGGTAGGAGCAAGTATCCTCTGAGCCCAGAGTCGTGACAGGCTCTGTGCAGCCTCATGCAGCTCTGCACAGGCAGACTTGTGCTTTTATTCTTTGTAGAGGACCTCAGTCGGGTAGAGATGTCTGAAGCGGGGAGTGTGCATTGGGCAGGAGCCATTGAGGAACTGCAAAGGTGATGGACAAGTTGGAGTGCTCTCTGTGCCTCCAACTCTCGGCACCTCCCACCTTCCTTAGGGCTGAGAAAACAGCCCAGAGGCAGAGGAGGCTCCACTGGAGAGACAGGGCTTCAGTTTTCAGCTGAGAACAGGCTGCCAGCTCCAATTTGCCCCATTGTTTCTGGGCACTGTGGGGAGTTTATCAGAGGCTCTTACAGAAGCTGTAATCTGCATTTCATTTTATGGATTTATATTTGCTTTGTTCATTTCCCTTTGTTTCCTCAGAGTTGCTTTTGGTGTAAATGTTTCTTTCGAATATCCTTCAATAATACTAAAGAAGGAAGGAGTCCTCCTCCAACCCCCGTTCTATCTTGATGACTCCTAAGGCTGGACACCTTCCCCAGGCAGAGGATGGCAGCAAAAAAGAGCTGGAGGCGGTGAAATGAGGGGTGAGGATGACTGAGCCCCTTCTAAGTGCCAGGCACCTTTATGTATGTAATCAGATTTAATTCTCACTGCAACCCGGCAGATAAACTTGATTATTGCCACTTCATTTTTTTCAAATATGGAAACACAGTCTCAGAGCAGTTAAGTTACTTTGATCATTCCCAGTAGTAAATGGCAGGATTGGAATTCAATCTGACCCCAAAGCCTTTTTCCTTTCCGTGGTCCCCTTGAGGCTCAGAAGGGAAAGAGAGGAGAGCTCCACCTCTCCAGCCCAGAGCTGATCCCCTCAGGATCCTGTCTTTTCTCATTCCTCAAAAAATCCTGTATTTTATATCTATGGGCTGATCCTCTCCCAGGTGTCTAGATGAGCATCCTCAGAAATAAGGCATGTCAATGGGAGAAAGAAGAAATACATCACATCAATCTGAGGAAGCCAACCAATTTAGATGGATAGACCCCTAGACTGCACTCTGTTCTCAGAGCCTCTAGGAAGGGCATTACATGTTGGAAAGGCACCAGTTGGCATCAGGTATTCTGACTGGGCCAGGGACTCATCTCCATGCTCATCTGCAGTAGAGAATGTTGTCCAGTGAACCCTGTCCTGGGAGGTGTAAGTGTGGCCAATGCCCTCAGACACTTTGTGTCTGTCTTCTCAGACAAACCAAGGGGTCTGAGTATGTGGAGCTTGTCAAATGGCACAACCCTGGGATGTCAGAATTGGAGGGTTTGTGGGGTTATCCCATCCAGTTTCTTTATATAACATCAGGGAAGTGAAGGAATTTGTCCAAATCACACAATTAGTTCACCCAACAAGCTCTAGATTCCAAGTCTTTCAGGGACTCTCCCAGTACTCTGTCCTCTCCCTAGTGCTTTTCACTGGCCTAGGGGTCATGTCAGTTTCAGCTCAGTATCTCCGGGGAGTGTTCAGGAATCCACATTTTAAATGGCCTCAAGGCAATTTCTATGCCCCTTAAAAGTTGCCCACATCAAAAAGTTAGAAAGATCTCAAATTAGCAACCTAACTTCACAACTGAAAGAATTAGAGAAGTAAGAACAAAGCAACCTCAAAGCTGGCAGAAGATGAGAAATAACAAAAATCAGAGCTGGACTGAAGGAAATTGAAACACAAAAAAACCATTCCAAAGATCAGTGAACCCAGGAGTTTTTTTTTTTTTTTAATTAAAAAAATAGGCCACTAGCTAGACTGAGAAAAGATTGAAATAAACACCATTAGAAAAGACAAAGGGAATATTACTATTGACCACACAGAAATATAAACAACCATCAGAAACTACTATGAACACCTCTGTGCACACAAACTAGAAAACCTAGAAGAGATGAATAAATTCCTGGGCATGTACACCCTCCCAAGACTAAGCCAGGAGGAAATTGATTCCCTAAACAGACCAATGATGAGCTCTAAAATTGAATCAGAAGTAAATAGGCTACCAACCCAAAAGAGCCAGGGACCTGGTAGATTTACAAGCACATCCTACCAGACATACAAAGAAGAGCTAGTACCATTCCAACAGAAACTATTCCCAAAAATAGAGGAGGAGGGACTCCTCCCCAATTCATTCCATGAGGCCAGTATCATCTTGATACCAAAACCTGGCAGAGACACAACAAAAAAAGAAATCTTTAGGCCAATATCCTTGATGAACATAGATGCAAAAATCCTCAACAAAATACTTGCAAACTGAATTCAGCAGCACATCAAGAAGTCTACGACCATGATCAAGTAGGCTTCATCCCCAGGATGCAAGGTTGGTTCAACATAAATGTGATTCATCACATAAACAGAACTAAAGACAAAAAGCACATGATTATTTCGGTAGATGCAGGAAAGTCTTTTGATAAAATTCAACACTGCTTCATGTTAAAAAAAAAAACTCTTCAACAAACTAGGTATTGAAGGAACATACCTCAAAATAATAAGAGCCATCTGTGACAAACCCACAGCCAACATTATACTTAATGGGCAAAAGCTGGAAGCATTCCCCTTGAAAACCAGCACAAGACAAGGATGCCCTCTCTCACCACTCCTATTCAACATAGTATTCAAAGTCCTAGCCAGAGGAATTAGGCAAGAGAAAGAAATAAATCATGTCCAAATAGAAAAGAGAAAGTCAAACTATCTTTGTCTGTAGATGATGTTATTCTATATCTAAGAAAAACCCCATAGTCTCAGCCCAAAAGCTTCTCCAACTGATAAACAACTTCAGTAAAGTTGCAGGATACAAAATCAATATGCAGAAATCACTGGCATTCCTATACATTGACAAGAGCCCAATCAGAAGGGCAGTCCCATTCACAATTGCCACAAAAAGAATAAAATACCTGGGAATACAGATAACCAGGGATGTGAAAGATCTCTACAATGAGAACTACAGGTCAGGTGTGGTGGCTCACTCCTGTAATCCCAACAATTTGGGAGGCCAAGGCAAGTGGATTGCCTGAGGTCAGGAGTTCAAGACCAGCCTGGCTAACATGGTGAAATCCCATCTCTACTAAAAATACAAAGGTTAGCTGGGTATAGTGGTGTATGCCTGTAGTCTCAGCTACTCAGGAGGCTGAGGAAGGAGAATTGCTTGAACACAGGAGGTAGAGGTTGCAGTGAGCCGAGATCGTGCCACTGTATTCCAGCCTGGGTGACAGAGTGAGACTCCATCACAATAAAAAGAGAATTACAAAAGACTGCTCAAAGAAGTCAGAGAAGATAGAAACAAATGGAAAAATATACCCTGCCCACAGATAGGAAGAATCAATACTATAAACATGGCTCTACTGCCCAAAGCAATTTACAGATTCCATATTATCCCCATCAAACTACCAACGACATTCTGCACAGAACTAATAAAATCTATTTTAAAATTCATATGGAACCAAAAAAGAGCCCAAATAGCCAAGCCAATCCTAAGCAAAAAGAACAAAGCTGGAGCCATTATGTTACCAAACTTCAAACTATACTACAAGGCTACAGTAACCAAAACAGCATGGTACTGGTACAAAAACAGGCACACAGACCCACGGAACAGAATAGAGAACCCAGAAATAAGGCCACACATCTATGTTCATCTGACCTTTAACAAAGCTGACAAAAACAATGGGGAAAAGACTCCCTATTCAATAAGTGGTGCTAAGATAACTGGCTAGCCATATGAAGAAGATTGAACCTGGACCCCTTTCTTACACCATACACAAAAATCAACTCAAGATGTGTTAAAGACTTAAGTGTAAAACTCAAAACTATAAAAACCCTGGAGACAACCTAGGCAATACCATCTTAAACATAGGAACAGGCAAAGATTTCATGATAAAGACAATAAAAGCAATGACAACAAAAGCAAAAATTGACAAGTAGGATTTAATTAAACTTAAGAACCAAGAATTTCTGCACAGCAAAAGAAAGTGTCAACAGGGCAAACAGACAGCCTACAGAATAGGAGAAAATATTTGCAAACTATGCATCTGACAAAGGTCTAATATCCAGCATCTATAAGGAACTTAAACAAATTTTAGATGCCCAGAAGAAAACAACCAACCCAAACAAAAAGTGGGAAAAGAATGTAAACAGGCACTTCTCAAAAGAAGACATACATGTAGCCACAAATCATATGAAAAAAGTTCAGTATCACTAATCATTAGAGAAACACAGATCAAACCCACAGTGAGATATAATCTTATACCAGTCAAAATGGCTATCATTAAAAAGTCAAAAAATAACAGATGCTGGTGAAATTGTAGAGAAAAGGGAACATTTATTTATTAT